GGGCCAGGGGTTCCTTCTGCAGGGCAGAGGTAGCAGGTAGGACAGGGTTTTCGACTTTCGGGGCCGGCCCGGAGCTGCTGGAGCTGTCGGAGCAGACGTGCAGGTGCTTGAAGAGGGAGCGGTGCGTCCGGAAGCGCAGCAGGCAGTTCTCGCACCTGGAGAGCCGGAGAGGTAGCGTGAGCGCCGGGGGCTCCCCTCCACCCGCCCGCCGCCCTGTGCCACTGGCACCATGGGAAGCCTTTCTCCCCGCTATCTGAGGACATGGGTGCAACCTTGGGCTCGCCTTTGAGCAAGGCCTGCAACGGCAAAGAGCAGGGTTGGCTGGCCAGAGCCGCTGGGATCCCACGTGCCTGGGGATGTCTGGATGCTGCCAATTGCCTCCCCATAAGGACGGGGCGGCTGTGCCGAGAGACCATGCTCTCGGCAGCCCAGCCTTGGGGAGCTCCCTGTTCTCCAAAGCTCGTGCCGCAACGGGATGGCAGGGCTGCACGGGATGGGACATGCACCCAACGCGGGAGACAGAGCGGGACTCACTTGAAGTAGCGGTTTGGCTTGTAGTGCACCTTCATGTGGGTCATGAGGTCCTGCATGCTTGGGAACTTCTCAGAGCAGCCCAGAGTGGGGCAGTGGAAGGTTTTGCCTGTAAGAAGAGGGGTGGAGAGTCAGCAATGCCCTGGCTGCATAACCAGCACCCCGAGAGCCCTCCTGGATAGGTTTGGGGGCTAATCACAGAATCACAGAATGGTTGAAGCTGGAAGGGACCTCTGGAGATCATCTAGTCCAACCCCCCTGCTCAAGCAGGGTCATCTAGAGCACATTGCCCAGGATCACGTCCAGGCGCATTTTGAATATCTCCAGCGAAGGAGACTCCACCACCTCTCTGGGCAACCTGTGCCCGTGCTCTGTCACCCTCACAGCCAAGAAGTTTTTCCTCATGTTCAGATGGACCTTCCTGTGTTCCAGTTTGTGCCCGTTGCCTCTTGTCCTGTTGCTGGGCACCACGGAGAAGAGCCTGGCCCCATCCTCTCGACACCCTCCCTTCCGATACCTGTAGACATTGATGGGGTCGCCTCCCCG